GTCCACGCCACTTAGGTGCAAGTGGATCACGTTTCCACTCTTTCACCCATATGCTATGCCAGCCTGGAGCTGATGAATCGGCAGGCAATGCTGCACGGCGTGCGCTCGAGGGCCCACCTGTTAAGATAAAAACAACAACAACAAACAAACACGGGAGAGAGACAAAAACACGGGAGAGAGATTGCACTTGTCCCTGTGTTGCATGGTCTCCTATTTGTTTGAGGTCAGTTGGAATATCCTGAACAAAGGAGGGCGGCCTCCCATACAGGAGCTCAAAAGGTGACAACTTAAGTCTTTTTGTGGGTGCGCACCGAACACGAAACAGTGTTATGGGTAACACATCTACCCTCCTGAAACTTTAGACATATTAGTGGGCTTCTGGCATGCCCTGCAGATACCTTGCACAAGCATCTGGCGGTAGGTGGTAAGCCTGGCCAGGTGAATTGCATTGTTTGGATCCCAATTAGGATCTTCCAAGGGAAAGTTTTCCTGGAGATGACGGTCAATATTAAAAATATTTCCCACTCTGGCCTGCTCATTAACCAGCACAGGCTCCTCAAGTGCATCAAATACTCTTCTAAGAGGGGCTACTACGTGACCTTTTTCTTCGCTTTGCTCTAGGGGCCTCAAATCATAGGGGATGGTATCTGTCCCAAGGCGTTCTTTTAGCAGCTCTATACGCCTGGCTGTATTGTTTGCTGACCGATTAGGGTCTCCCTGTAACTTCTGTAATAATAGATGTACAGGGGTTTGGGGTAGGCAATCAGTTGTTCCACTAAAAGAGACTGTAGATGGAGTTCTACTGGGACTCACAGGTGGAATAACCACTTCTGCTTGGGCTTCATTATAGGACTCCAATGCCTCCTGAAGATATTTATCATAATCTATCAAGGAATCAAGTTCTGTGACTCCAGCCCCATTATTCATTCCACTTTCTTGCCTTGGGGTTACAACTGGTGGAGGGTTCGAATTAGGCTCCCTTCGATTGTGGAGCATAGGGTGGAGGTGGAAGCACCTCTTCCTCTGGTCCCTCAAAAATGGGTTTGAGTTTATTTGGCAAGATTCCTTTCCTAGCTTCGGCTTTTACAGCCAATAATTTGCATCGTTGGACTTTGCATTCCCTTATCCATGGAGGATTTTTATTTAATGTGCTCAGCCAGGAATCTATATATGAAAATTGTTCTGGGCACCCTCCAGTTTCTTTGGCGATGTTAGACCAAAGTTTGCTTACTAAATTTATATCAAAGGTTCCTTGAGATGGCCATTCAGTATTTTGTTTTGGCCATTCTAGTTCACATAACGTTCTCAAGCGCTCTGGCATCATTTTGACTCCATATGCCCCTGAGAAGGCTTTCTTAAAATTATTTAACATACATTCAAGAGGTGTATTTCCCCCCTTTGAACCCCCAACTCCCATTGTATGGCCCTGTGAAGTATCCACTCAGTCACTCACACACACACCTTACTGGGAAACGAAGTAGTACTCACTCCACACTTAGGTCAGCTACACATTGTACTTTCTCACACATGCAATGCGCTAGATACTTTAACCACACACTACCTCCCAACTTCCCTTTTCCCTACACCAGATCACCATCTGATGTACCCAGCCACCTAGCGTACTCAGTTCCCCTTTACTGAGACGCAGAAGTTTGATCAGGACTTCTCTTCCTCCCAATTAATTGGAGGGCCAAAACCCCTTAGTGCACTTACCCTTAGCTGGTTCCCTGTTTATTTCTCTGGTCCCCCCCGGTCCGTCGCCGTCGGTGGGCAGGGTATCAGACAGACGAGACTGCTGCGTTCCCCTGGAAAAATTTTTCCATTGCGCGCTGAGTAGGCAGTGAGTGATCCTCTGTCTTGTACCCCGCTCAGTAGGCGAAGGAGCTGCGTTCCAGCAGACCACTGATCCGAGTCGCAGGCACCATAAAATGTAGCACCCTGCTTGTGGTTAACGCTTAGCTGGAATGAAATATTCAACGCAGCAACAGAGAAATTAAATAATAATTTATTTGTCAGACAAATAAATAAGAGGCACAGTGGTATATGATTACCAAGCTCTGGCCTGGCCTCCTGCCATTATGGCCAGCACTTATATTCCCTTAATCCAGCCCCTTTGCTCCTCCTTGGGCTGCCTCTGTCCCATCAGCCTGGTTGAAATTCCTATTGGCTGATTAGTATAACCAATCACAAAAATACACTCATATCCTCCTGTCCTTATAAGGGAGACAAAGAGCTATATATAAATGACAAATAAGTAATAATATATCTTACATGGAATCTTAATTACCAGCTCACCTCTTGCCCTATTGCCTTCTAAAACAAATGGTTAATCTTAAATTTTTATCTTAAACATATGTCAAGGATCTTGAGTTTCACATCAATATTGAAAGATCTCCTTCATTTGAAGGTTTCTAAACAAATATCTGACAACTTATATATCAGAATTGCTCCGATGGCGTCTTCTTGTTTGGCAGGGGGCTGGACTGGTGGCTGACTTAATTTCAAGATAAATACAACTCTTCTAGCATTTGTTAAATCCTTTGCATAATTACATTTAAGCCAGCATATTTAATACACAACACAGGTAGCTTCTTTAAAAGAATAAAGCCTTTTTAAAGAAGAAAAAGAACTCAGTAAAAAGGAACACAGTAAAAAATCGTTTTAAAAGAAGCCTCTTCCCTGTTCATACTTCCCCCCCCTTCTCCAGCCAGTCGCCTTGTTTTCTCTTCCAAGTGCTCTTGACCTTTTGTCCTGTGACTCAAGTTTAAGAGAGGCCCATGGTTTTATTTTACTGTTTACTCATCCCTAATTATGTAGGGTCTGTGTAACCTTGGTCTTCAGCCTGTAATTCCAGCTTTTACGACTTAGTGGTACTCTACAGCATGCAAGGTCAGTGACCTGCTTCTCAGCCTTTTTATGACCGCAATAAACCAGGGGCCCTTTGCTTGCCAGCTGCTTGCTGGAGCCGCTTGCTGGTTTTCTACCTTGGAAGAAACATTATTTTTAGAATTTTAGGAACCTGATCAAAATATAAGCCAATATAAGTCTTGATTAAAATTGCAGTCTATATTCAGATGCCACAATATCATACATTAAAAACTTCCCTGAACAGGGCTGCCTTAAGATGTCTTCTGAATGTCAGGTAGTTGTTTATCGTTTTGACATCTGATGGGAGGGCGTTCCACAGGGCGGGCGCCACTACCGAAAAAGGCCCTCTGCCTGGTTCCCTGTAGCTTTGCTTCTCGCAATGAGGGGACCGCCAGAAGGCCCTCGGCAACTGGACCTCAGCGTCCGGGCAGAACGATGGGGGTGGAGACGCTCCTTCAGGTATACTGGCTTTGAGGCCGTTTAGGGCTTTAAAAGTCAACACCAGCACTTTGAATTGTGCTCGGAAACGTACTGGGAGCCAATGTAGGTCTTTCAAGACCGGTGTTATGTGGTCCCGGCGGCCGCCCCCAGTCACCAGTCTAGCTGCCGCATTCTGGATTAGCTGTAGTTTCCGAGTCACCTTCAAAGTCTTAGTCTTCTCCTAGTCTTCGTTTAGGATTTTGGTAGAATGACCCTGTTACTCAGAAGGAAGTCCCGTTAATGAGTGAATTTGACATGCATTTTAACTGGCGACACTGTCTTCTAAAATCCTTATTTTTCAAACTTGTGATTTTATTTATATTTTAGGGGGAAACAGATTAACTTGTCTTTCACCCCCGATTCTATTGGTATACTTTAAGTGGCATATAGACCCTGTTTGCCAAGTAAATAAGTGTGCAATAAGGATTGCAGCCTATAAAAGGACATGAATTTGATCCCGTCAGAGAAACTTGTTCCTATGTCCTGCCGAATGAGAGTTCTACGCTCAGAAAGGAAAGGACCTCTTCCAGTTGACCCTGAAATTTTGTTGGGTGTTCTGGATGCTTTTTTGTGTGTGGAGGCGTGTCCTAAATTTTCAGCCAAGAGCTGAATATCTAGTTTCTAAGGTGTTAGAATATAAATGCTGTCCATGGCCCTGCCTTGCAACACCATGTGCAAAAAAGCGTGGTTTTATTTTCAGTTAAAAGCAGAAACTGCCCACAAAACTTCCATCATATGATCAAGTAGCCCTTTTGGATAGGCTCATTCTCTCAGGCATTTGCTTGTTATCAGGCAAGAGGAAATAATAATAATAATAATAATAATAATAATAATAATAATAATAATAATAATAATAATAATATCCTGCCCTGCCCAGCCGAAGCTGGGCTCAGAGCAGCTAACAATGGTAAAAATAACACAATTTACATAAAATCACAATCAATTAATTGAAATACATTGAAATAGGGGTTGTCAGGCCATAGCACTGCTCCTTAAACTTTTTATCTGGGCCACACATTCAGAATAAAAATTTGTGTGCGCTGCTCCAGTTTTTTTCTTGATGAGAAATGCACTGGGGGAAAGGAAAAAAAAACCAGCAACAACTACCAGTGCTTGGTTTACAAGATAGAACGCAACTACTTTATAATACGATCGTGGGACATCCAAAAGCATGTAAACAACCAGCAGAAAATTGAAAGAAGGAATGCTCTCCAGGTGAGGGCAGGAATAGCCAGGAGCTTTTGGGAGAGGCCGGCGGCTGATGAATATGTGTTGGAAGTTTCTGGATGGTGTTTCTATCTCTTGGCACATATCTGTGAGTCAAGGTCATCTTGCCAGCGCCAGGAACAACAGAAGAGGAAGGCTCCAGAAATGTCTGGAAGGCCACTGCAGAGGATAAAAGGAGGCTCTGAAGCTTCTCAGAGACAGACGCCGGAGTGGAAAGAGACACTGCAGGCACCCAGAGCCCAGAGAGAGAGAAACAGACCGTCCTTCTGAGCTATGCTAAGCTTATCGAGACGCGGAGGGCTGCAGCTCGGGGTTATCCGGGGTCCAACCTCATCTCCCCGCAGCTTTACAGCAGAGATCCAAGAAGCGGCTACAGGTGGCTGGAGGTTCCGCAGAACCTCTTTGCGCAGCCCCAGGTGGATGAGATGGGGAGGCCGATGTTCTTGCCTGCAGGTAGCTATCCCCAGAACCTCTTTGCGCAGCCCCAGGTGGATGAGATGGGGAGGCCGAGGGTCTTGCCTGCAGGTAGCTATCCCCAGAACCTCTTTGCGCAGCCGCAGGTGGATGAGATGGGGAGGCCGAGGGTCTTGCCTGCAGGTAGCTATCCCCACGTCTCCTGGGCAGCCCCAGGCCAGGAAGGGCAGGGCAGCCCCAGCCTTGCCCCCAAAGTCAGCTTCCAGGAGAACAACATCACGTACCAGCTCTGCCTGGACATGGCTGGGTTTTTGGCGGACGAGCTGACCGTGAAGATGGACGGGAGGAAGCTGACGGTGTCCGGGAAGCACAAGAAGAAGACCAGGTCGGAAGACGACCTCATTTTCCACGATCACAGAGAGGTCCTCAGGGAAGTTCTCCTGCCGGAAGATGCCGATCTCGACGCCGTGACCTGCACCTTGACCCACGACGGGAAGCTCTGCTTCCAGGTCCCACGCAAGGCCCCGACTGCTTCCCAAGGTGACAAACATCCCTGTCACCAGGGCCCCCCGGGGGGGAGAAGGGCAGGAGAAGGCTGCTCCAGACGAGGTTGACCAAGGAGGAAGTGGAGAGTGGGAGGCGAGAAATACCGGGGACAAGGATGACCAAGAAGGAAGTGAAGACGAGTAGGCATATCCAGGACAGAAGTGAGGGAGGGCGGACAGTGCAAAGCATGGGGCTTCAAAGGACACGGCGATTCCAGCTGTTCCAGCTGCAAGCTTTGGGGCTTGGGAACTTTGCTGCCATCCTGTTCCCTGGGCGTCATCTCCCATGTAGGTCATCTCTTTTGGGGGTACCTTTTATACATCCCACAAGTCATGGGTTGTTGTTTATCGTGCAGTTCCATTATGATTGCCGTTTCCTTAATATTGTACTTTGGAGAACCCATCAGGAAATAAACTTGCATTGTTTTCCCCTTGAAAGTATTTGCTTGTCTTCACTTGGGTCGTTTTCAGCGTTCCTGAACGTGTGGGTGCTGACTAAGAATTGGCAGTACACCAGATTGACTGCTTAGGGGGCCTGAAAGGATAGACCGTGGGGAGGGGAGGGAGAAGGAAGGGGGCACAGCTGCATTTCTCTTAAAATAGAAAGCCCTTTCCTAGTGTACCCCCTTGCAAATTCTCAGCATTTTATACATTATTATGAAGCCGTTATTCCTTGCACCAGGGTGCATTCAGATAACTTAGGGTACTTTTAGACCATCCCTCTCTTTAGGGTGGCCTCTGCACATGCTCAGAGGTAATCAGATATTCATTGCGAGTGCTGAGATTCCAGGGCTGTGGAGTTCTGGAACGGAGGACAGATTCCTAAGTAAGTTGTGGATTCTGGTTTGATGTAAAGCACTGCATGAATTTCTCTCTCACTGGCCTTGATTCTGCTCGCATCCTGATTGCAGAGCTTGCAAAAGTACTTTAGCTGGAACTGAGCTCCTTCTGTTGTCCCTGATTTGCACTCTGAATATGCTGGGAGTGTGAAGGAAACTGCCCCAGGGGAAATTTTGACAGGGTGTCCTGGCAGCCTATGGTGCAAAAGGCACTTGGCATTTCACAATTGCGTTTTATAGAGAAATTAACAATGATTCAGGAAAGCTGTTGCGAGGCTCTGGTGCCCCAAGCGGCAGGTAGGGGGAAGGGAAAAAACCACATTTTTTTGCTACCTGATTCTTTGCGGGGGGGGGGGCTTTTTCTGCTGTTGGGTCTCTTTACCTCATCAGCAACTTTCCTGGGGCCGCATGCCAATGGCAGGGAGGGCCGGAAGGAAATTGGGTGGAGCAACGGACTTTGTTCTGTAGTCTACATTAGTGTCATGGAAAAGAAATGTTTCTGCGTATCACCACACGCAAACATCATCCGAGTATGCATGAAGCGTTTTTTAAAACAAATAATGATAATAATTTTTAAAAAATTATATCCCATCCACCTTGCTGGGTTTCCCCAGCCACTCTGGGTGGCTTACAACATACATAAAAAAAACAACAAAGCATCAAACATTAAAAAACAAAATATCCTATACAAGCAACAAACAAAGCAATAAATCAATAGAAACCAATAATAGCAACAATAATAAACAGTTTACACTTATACCCAAGTTAATATTTATATATCGCCCTGTTGCAAAACATCAGGGAGCGTGCAGCAACACAGAAACACTTAAAAGCAATGCAAAGCATTAATTAAAGCAACTGGCTATTCAAGAATCATAGAATCATAGAGTTGGAAGAGACCCCAAGGGCCATCGAGTCCAACCCCCTGCCAAGCAGGAAACACCATCAGAGCACTCCTGACATATGGTTGTCAAGCCTCTGCTTAAAGACCTCCAAAGTAGGAGACTCCACCACACTCCTTGGCAGCAAATTCCACTGTCAAACAGCTCTTACTGTCAGGAAGTTCTTCCTAATGTTTAGGTGGAATCTTCTTTCTTGTAGTTTGGATCCATTGCTCCGTGTCCGCTTCTCTGGAGCAGCAGAAAACAACCTTTCTCCCTCCTCTATATGACATCCTTTTATATATTTGAACATGGCTATCATATCACCCCTTAACCTCCTCTTCTCCAGGCTAAACATGCCCAGCTCCCTTAGCCGTTCCTCATAAGGCATCGTTTCCAGGCCTTTGACCATTTTGGTTGCCCTCCTCTGGACACGTTCCAGTTTGTCAGTGTCCTTCTTGAACTGTGGTGCCCAGAACTGGACACAGTACTCCAGGTGAGGTCTGACCAGAGCAGAATACAGTGGCACTATTACTTCCCTTGATCTAGATGCTATACTCCTATTGATGCAGCCCAGAATTGCATTGGCTTTTTTAGCTGCCGCGTCACACTGTTGGCTCATGTCAAGTTTGTGGTCAACCAAGACTCCTAGATCCTTTTCACATGTACTGCTCTCAAGCCAGGTGTCCCCCATCTTGTATTTGTGCCTCTCATTTTTTTTGCCCAAGTGCAATACTTTACATTTCTCCCTGTTAAAGTTCATCTTGTTTGTTTTGGCCCAGTTCTCTAATCTGTCAAGGTCGTTTTGAAGTGTGATCCTGTCCTCTGGGGTGTTAGCCACCCCTCCCAGTTTGGTGTCATCTGCAAAGAAGGTTTTAAGCAATTTATTTTTAAATAAATAACATCATCCCAGTGGGAGGCAAAAGCACTTTGAGAAGGGCATGCCAGGAAGGGGCACATATAGTAATAATAATTTATTATTTATACCCCGCCCATCTGGCTGGGTTTCCCCAGTCTGGCAAAGGTAGCACTCCAGTTCCCCTATCCTTAGGTTGCCTGCTAAACAGCCTCAGCAAACTACAACTCCCAGAATCCTTGGCGGGGGGAAGCGTAAGCGATGAAAGCGCCCGCAGAACGCGGCCCAAACCTCCTGACGTGAAGGCTCACGCATGCGCACAACGCGCTGGTGCCTGCGTGTGTGTTTATTTGCCCTGCCGCTACTGGAGTTTCCCCATTGGCCAAGCCCAGATTCCGTCTTGAACTTCCTCGTTCCGACTCCTCTTTCTTGATTGGCCAAGCTCCGCTCCTTTGCCGCCCACCCCTTCATTCCGATTGGCGGCTGAGGCGGCCCTGGCTGCGGATTGACCTGAGGGGAAAAAAGTGGGGCGACGGCCTCCTGTGGACGCTCTGGCCGCCCCCTGCGCTCTATGGCCTTTCCTCAGAGCGAAACGGGAACGGCTTCGGCGCCGGCTGGGCCCGTCGCCGAGCGGAGCGAGCAGGTGAGGGACCCCGCGGCGCCCCCGCCTTCCTCTCCCGCAGGGCTGCCGTTTCCCTGCCAGGTTTCCCCGGGGAGGCTCCTCCCCGCCCCCCGGTCCACCCTCACAACAGCCCTGCGAGGGAGGGCAGGGGGCGGGGGGGGCTCCGCGGGGAGAGGGGCCTCCGCCGGACCTCCCAGCGCGGCCTTGGCCAACCTGGGGCCCGTCAGAGGGGCTGCACGGCCACGGGGAGCGGGTGGGACTTGTAGCGCAACCTCGCTGGGTGCTGCTGGCTGCTGGGAATTGTAGTCCAACCTTGATGGGTGCTGCTGGCTGGTGGGAGTTGTAGGGCAACTTTTAGGTGCTGGGGCTGCTGGGAATTGTAGTCCAGCCTTGGTGGGTGCTGCTGGCTGGTGGGAGTTGTAGGTTTTAACAATGAATCTGTAAGTGACTGTGGAGGCCAGTTCTGGATCCACACCGCCTTGTAGGGCCACCTTGATGGGTGCTGCTGGCTGGTGGGAATTGTAGGGCAACTTTTAGGTGCAGGAGCTGGTGGGAGTTGTAGGGCAACCTTTAGGTGCTAGGGCTGGTGGGAGTTGTAGTTCAACCTTGATGGGTGCTGCTGGCTGGTGGGAATTGTAGGGCAACTTTTAGGTGCAGGAGCTGGTGGGAGTTGTAGGGCAACCTTTAGGTGCAGGAGCTGGTGGGAGTTGTAGTCCAGCCTTGATGGGTGCTGCTGGCTGGTGGGAATTATGTCCAAACCCTCTGGGTGCTGCTGGCTGGTGGGAGTTGTAGTCCAAACTCGCTGGGTGCTGCTGACTGCTGGGAATTGTAGGGCAACTTTTAGGTGCTGGAGCTGGTGGGAGTTGTAGGGCAACCTTTAGGTGCTAGGGCTGGTGGGAGTTGTAGGGCAACCTTTAGGTGCTAGGGCTGGTGGGAGTTGTAGTTCAACCTTGATGGGTGCTGCTGGCTGGTGGGGATTGTAGGGCAACTTTTAGGTGCAGGAGCTGGTGGGAGTTGTAGGGCAACCTTTAGGTGCTAGGGCTGGTGGGAGTTGTAGGGCAACCTTTAGGTGGCTAGGGCTGGTGGGAGTTGTAGTTCAACCTTGATGGGTGCTGCTGGCTGGTGGGGATTGTAGGGCAACTTTTAGGTGCAGGAGCTGGTGGGAGTTGTAGGGCAACCTTTAGGTGCTAGGGCTGGTGGGAGTTGTAGGGCAACCTTTAGGTGCTAGGGCTGGTGGGAGTTGTAGTTCAAACCTTGATGGGTGCTGCTGGCTGGTGGGGATTGTAGGGCAACTTTTAAGGTGCAGGAGCTGGTGGGAGTTGTAGGGCAACCTTTAGGTGCTAGGGCTGGTGGGAGTTGTAGGGCAACCTTTAGGTGCTAGGGCTGGTGGGAGTTGTAGTTCAACCTTGATGGGTGCTGCTGGCTGGTGGGGATTGTAGGGCAACTTTTAGGTGCAGGAGCTGGTGGGAGTTGTAGGGCAACCTTTAGGTGCTAGGGCTGGTGGGAGTTGTAGGGCAACCTTTAGGTGCTAGGGCTGGTGGGAGTTGTAGTTCAACCTTGATGGGTGCTGCTGGCTGGTGGGGATTGTAGGGCAACTTTTAGGTGCTGGAGCTGGTGGGAGTTGTAGGGCAACCTTTAGGTGCTAGGGCTGGTGGGAGTTGTAGGGCAACCTTTAGGTGCTAGGGCTGGTGGGAGTTGTAGTTCAACCTTGATGGGTGCTGCTGGCTGGTGGGGATTGTAGGGCAACTTTTAGGTGCAGGAGCTGGTGGGAGTTGTAGGGCAACCTTTAGGTGCTGGGGCAGGTGGGAGTTGTAGTCCAGCCTTGATGGGTGCTGCTGGCTGGTGGGAGTTGTAGGGCAACCTTTAGGTGCTAGGGCTGGTGGGAGTTGTAGGGCAACCTTTAGGTGCTAGGGCTGGTGGGAGTTGTAGTTCAACCTTGATGGGTGCTGCTGGCTGGTGGGGATTGTAGGGCAACTTTTAGGTGCAGGAGCTGGTGGGAGTTGTAGGGCAACCTTTAGGTGCTGGGGCAGGTGGGAGTTGTAGTCCAGCCTTGATGGGTGCTGCTGGCTGGTGGGAGTTGTAGGGCAACCTTTAGGTGCTAGGGCTGGTGGGAGTTGTAGGGCAACCTTTAGGTCCTAGGGCTGGTGGGAGTTGTAGTTCAACCTTGATGGGTGCTGCTGGCTGGTGGGGATTGTAGTCCAGCTTTGATGGGTGCTGCTGGCTGGTGGGAGTTGTAGGGCAATCTCGCTGGGTGCTGCTGGCTGGTGGGAATTGTAGGGCAACCTTTAGGTACTAGGGCTGGTGGGAGTTGTAGTTCAAACTTGATGGGTGC